TATTTTTATGAGCGAGCTCATTTTCACATTTAAAATAAAGTAATTTAAATTTAATGAATTAAGAACTTTGGACTTTTGGACTTTTGTTTAATTTCAAGGTAACTTCCAAATCTTCTATGAAAAATGGTTTATCAACATTTTTGTATGGTTCAGGTAAGAATCTGTCACATTTCTTCTATCATGTTCATCAACTAAAAATAAGTAATACTAAAATCTGCTGCTTTCAAGTCATTCTGGTAACATGCTTTTAAACGACAATAATATTATATTATCTGGTAAACTTTATTTGAAAGTTTATTTTCATTATGTAAAAAAGCAAATTTAATTATTATTATAAATCATTAATGACACTTTTTTCTTTCTTATGATAAAAAAGTAAACATTAATAACAAAGTATTTGAGATCTTCCTTTTGTTCAATCTGAATATTGAGCTAACATTTCGACAACATGCTGGTTAAATCTCTCTACTAAGCCATTCGTCTGAGGATGATAGGGCGTGGATGAACGAGGAGTCACCCCAAATTGCTGACATAAAGAGTTGAGCATCTCATTGACAAAATGTGTTCCCTGATCGGTAAGTAATATCTAAATTATGAATATTTTCTGGATCTATAATATTTGCTTTTGTAAAAGTATGTAATATATAAATAATGATTAAGGGGATTTCTCTTTCCATTATAAAAAAAAATCTATTTTATAAAAACTTTTGTTATTCTCATTATTATAAATGTTTAATATAAAATTTCTAAAAGTATCTATTTGATGCTTGATTATTACTTTTAATCAATATAATATTTATTACAATAATATTTTTTGGTTTATAGTCCATAAGTTTCTAATGATAATAAAATAATTTCTTTCATTATTATAACATAAAACTTCTAGTTATAAAGGTTAGAGTTGTCAATTATGAATTTTTGCATTTTTCATTTTCTATATATTTTCAATAATTAGGAATAGTTCTTCACTAAATCCAATTCCTGAGACAAAAAAAAAATCAAAGATCAATAAATTGGATGCTCTCAATGTTTCAATTAGTTAATGAGCTTGATCGGGTGAAACCAAGAAAATCCAACATAAAATTCTATTAATTGGGCGTACTTTGTGCCATTAATGGTCCTTTCAATAAGAAATTATTTTTAAATTATATTTTTTATTAAAAACCATGATACTGGTTAAAAACAATGAAGTAGTTACATATCTAATGAAACTTTAATTAGTTTTGTCACTTGATTAACTATGATTTTTCATGATCAATAATGTTAAGATAGATATTGCTTAATTTTCATCCTTCTATGAAATTATTGTAAGTTTTCATTTCTTCTTTTATATAAGAAATTAAATATATAGAAATAAAATAAATATAAGTTTGTATCATTTCACATTTTTTTTATAATAAAAAGAAGAATCTATGATCATTGTTGTTTCTAATGAATTATCTACTTTAAATTCTTTAAACAATAATTAATAATTTAATAAGGAAAAGGATAAAAATTTATTTTAAAAGTAACTAGTTTGTGCCGTGATATCCACAAAATAACTATTACATATATGATGAGAGTATCATTGACCATAATTAGATAATTAAATTGTAAATTAATTGTATGATAAAATTGTTAATACAATTGGTATTCTAATATAGTATATTTATAATATAATCTAAGGACAAACATTACTGGAATGCAAATCACGATTAATAATTAAATAATAAAGTTTATTCATTAAAATGCATCCAGTTATATTGATAAATATATATTTTAAACTACTGATAACTTCAGGTGCTATATAAGGAAATAACTTCAGGTGCTATATAAGGATACCAGTGGTAATGTGTATTCTAAAATTAATATATAATCTATTTTTATATAAAATAAACTACAACTAATTACCACTATGAAATTCACCATGAATTAGTTCAGTATTCATATAAAATATATTTTTTTTTTATATTTTGAATTCATGTCTTTAATTTAATTATAGATGAACATGAGCATGGCATTCTGTATTGTATAATATTTGAATAAATTAAAATAATCATTATAAGATAGTAATTTATTTTTATTACTAGAAAATCAATTACTGCGGAATTTGATTTTCCTTGGCTGTGCATTGACTAATTTTAAAAGTTTAGTTTGCTCAGGTGAGGCTTTAGGAAATATTGTTTATATGTCGCTGAGAATTTATTTCGTTTATAGATTAAAAAGAATTTATGAAAAAGGAGAGGTAAAAATATATATATATATAAAAAAAGAAAAAAAAAAGGAAAGGAAGGAAAAGAAAGGCGATTTATATAACAATTTCAATGATCAACGATCAAATCAAATTTGAACAAGTTTTATATGTTGAATATTTTGATTCAGCCATAAAAATTACATGATCTCAAATACAATAAATACAATGAAAAATGGCTAAGTAAATATCTTTTTGAGATTTGATAATCTCTTAAAATGACGATCCTGTTATTTTTTTGTATAAAAATCGGAAACTTTTATTATTATTTATCTCCTTTAGTGAAACGGAGTATCTATTCGTCAGAATTGTAATAGTATGAGATAATCAAATTAGGTCAAAAATTATTTGTTAGTAACGATTATTTTTATCGTAGGACAACAATATTACAAAATAATACTATTTTTACGCACCAACAATATAAATACATACAATTGTTCCTTTATTATATCGTTTTCATTGTTTACCTCTAATATTATGTTTAAATTATTTATTGTTTTCTTTATATTCACGATCACTTTTTTTTTAACATTAGTAACACATTTCTTTATTAATAAGTAAAATAAGTAAATTAATTACAGATCAATAGATCAATAGAAATACCTAAAAATAATAATCTCAGAGAGAAAATTATCTTTATAACTAAATTTTCTATCTAAATCTAATGCATAAACTATTTCTATAAATCTGTTTCGTTGTTAAGTACCAAGTATTTGTCAAAGATATATTAGCGATTATATTACCAATCATTTTGTCAAGCGTTACCTGTTTTTCTAATTCTAAATTTTTTTTTGATTTACTATTTCTATGTTTTTTGAGTTTTATTCGTTTTATCGTCATCAATTTCTTTATACCTACGATTACGTCCACTCACTTACCACTAATATTGTTTAACCTCATTACAACGATAATTCCAAATAATATTTCTCATATTATGAAAACATAACTCCTTTACCATCACTTTCGTCTCCTGAATTCTGATCACGACCAAATTTGTTAATATTATTATTAAATAAACCTCGTACCAATTCATACCAATTCCCATCCTTTAGATTTACCAATAAAAATATTTGAATTTTCTTGTGGCAAAATAACAAAATCTGTCATAACTGAACGTAATAACTCTATTTTCTTATATTGATGATTTCCGCTTTAAATTTTCTTCGTAAACTACCTAAACTACCAGAACTATTTTCCTTATTACACTGAAATTTGTTATAAACATTTTTCTATTACTAATGAAATTAAATGAATCTATTTCATGAGGACTAATAATACCAAAAAAATATCATTTAATATTTAGAAATTGTAAACTTCTTTAGACAATCGCGTTGTTGAAATCTATAATCTATATGCAATATGGCGTAAAAGGCGTTGGTCTTTTTTGGGGAAAATTAATAATTAAAATGTATATATTTCATTTAGAAATGATTCTCTTTTACACGTGTTATTAATTTGATGATCACAAGTGTTCAAAAAATTCGGGATTACTTAAAATCATATGTCACAAAAAAAAAAGTAGAACTTTTTCTTCTTAGTCTGAGTAACAGAAGAATCATTCGGAAAAACGTAGGTTGAATACAAATTTGGTTTTTTATTTGAAGTGTTACCAAAATTTACCATAAAAGCATTAATCAAAAGAAAAAAAAAATTATTTTTTAAACAATGAGCGCTGCGGACAATTGTAAAATCGTAAAATCGTAAAATTCATTTGAAACAATACAAAATCGTAAAGGACAAATGCTAAGTTAAGTTGTTAAACAAAAATATTTATCAAGTTTACTAAAATGCTACGTGGCAGCTTCCGGTTTGAGAGACTGTAAAATTATAAAACAATGAAGAATATTTTAATAACAATATTTTAATAATAAAATTTTGATTGATAACTATAACTTGAAATCAATGAAAGAGATGCGAAAATGAAATTTATTATTTTGTAAAATAATTAATATTTAAGTCTACATTGAATTGATTCAAACATTTGTTCGTTCGTAACACTTAAAAATCCAAGCAGAACGACTATTTTTAGAACATGAATTTTATACTGAGTAATCTGAGTCGAATCTAACGTAATAAAGACTCACATATAATACGATGACAGTAAATAATAGTAATAATAACTCTACAATCATATAATCAAGGTACAACCATTACTTCCGATTTTAGATACTAATCCAACTTATAGATTTCTAGATTTCTATAGAAGATTACATATAAGGAGTTATTAATAAATATTTATATATATTTTTTTTTAATTTTACCATTTAATAAATTAATTGCATCAGGATTTGTAAAAAAGATTTGTATTATTATATAAGTAATTTACTAACTGTACATGGGTACACACGTAATTGACAGGTTTTAAGGCTTTAAACATTTCGTTATAACGCGATGTATAAACGCGTGAAAAAAAGGAACATATTATTTACTTAATAAATTGTCCAAATTTAGTCTATTCAATAACAGGAATGCATAAAAAAGATAATTTTTTTACTTCATCTCGAAAAAATTTTTATTGGTTATATCTTATTCATGCAAATCTAACTAAGAATTTTTTTGGGGGAATTTAATAACTTTCCTCGTGATAAATATAATAATGTAACACAATAATAAACAATTTGAAGAAAAAAAAAATTCTTTTTAATGTGTAACCCAAAAATTGTTAAGATTGTTGTTTTAAATATAAATATCCGTGATCTGATCTTGATGATCTTTTTACCCCATCGAAATTTTTTTTTTTTTTTTCTTCTAATAAAAAAAAAATCATTTTTTTTTTTTTTCAAATATTCAATTATATTCAATTGTATTACAATAATGGAAACAAATTCAACAAATTTTGTTTCAAAAGAACCAGTTGACCACTTTATAACTTTTTTTGAAACTATTGGAATTATTGCTGACCCATATTTAACTCCTATAGAAGTTACAATAAAATCAACATTTAAATCATCATTACCTTCTTTATATGAAAATGTCTCGAAATTTATGGAAAAGAATCAATCACCTTTATCAGCTCGTTTACCTTTAATGAACCCTTTTCATGTTTTATTAATTACTATCGCGTATTTATTAACAATATATTTTGGCAAAATTTTTATGTCACGTAGAGAAAAACTTAATGTTAGAATATTAAGTATTTTTCATAATCTTTTCTTGGTCTCTTTGAGTTCATATATGTTTCTCACTATTACTTTTGAAGCTTGGAAAAATGGTTATTCTTTATTTGCTAATCCTGAAGTAAGATCAGAAGAAGGTTTTCAGGTAAATAAAATCCAAGTAATTTTTTTTAATCCTCAATTATATATATATATATATATATTCTTTTTTTTAACATTCATTAAATATTTTCTCATTTAGATGGCAAAATATGTTTGGTTATTTTATGTTTCAAAAATTAGTGAATTTATGGATACTTTTATTATGGTTTTGAAAAAGAATAATCATCAAATCTCTTTCTTACATGTTTATCATCATTTTTCTATCTTTATGATATGGTGGTTTGTAACTTTTGTCGCTCCAAATGGAGAATCTTATTTTAGTGCTGCTTTAAATTCACGTAAGTTAATAAATTCACTTGATCTTATTTTTTAAGTATGCGACTAATTTAGCTTGCGCTAATCCAAATATTAAATTTTTTTTTATAGTCGTACATGTTATTATGTATGGCTATTACCTTAGTACGACATTGTCATTCCCAATTCGTTTCTTAAAACGTTATATTACACAATTTCAAATGACTCAATTTATTATGATGATGGTTCAAGCTACTTATGATATTATTCACTTTAAAGTATTACGCCCTGAAGAAAAAAATACTTATCCATTCTCATTAACTGCTTTACTTTGGGTTTATATGGTAACTATGTTAGCTTTATTCGCTAATTTCTATAGAGCTGATAGGAAAAGAGAAAAAGTTGCTAAATCAGTTGGTGATAAAAAATCTTTATAAGAGTTAAAGATTCATTCTATTATATTAGAAAGAGATCAGATGAGTAGGTGATTTTTTTTTTTGCAGTTAATATTAGATAATAATGATTGATAAAAATAATAAATATTTTAAACTTTAAATATTATTAATTTTAATATATCATCATTTTTTTTTTCGCGTCTCCAAATTAAATCTCATAAAATTATGAAAAGTAAAAAGTATTAAAAGTATTACAAATACATTTTTTAATTGAAGATCTCTATAGATATATTAATTATACAGTATAAGATGAAAAAAAAAAAAGAACTATTGTGATAAATTCCAAATTCAAATAAATAAATAATAATAAATAAAATAAAATAAAATTATTATATTATATATTTACAATAATAAAATTATTATACTAAATTAAAGTGATTATTATTAGTATAAAATCTAAAATTTTTGTATATTCATGTTTCATGTCATGAAAAAATAAAATTACGTGATTTGTATATTATTTTTTAATGTTATGATGCTTACCTAATACAGTTTATACTAATTAATATCAGTCTTTTGTGAAGGATCTTGAAAACACCTTTCTCCCTGTGTTTCAGCGTTATTACCGTACCATTCAGGGAATTGTACCTATATAAATACGAAATAATATTAAGACGTGTCATGTAGTAATAATAATAATTATTATTGATTTACTTACCTTGAACGCAATATTAAAAAAGAAGAAAATAAACATTGTAACTATTTGTGATGCACTATCAAACGCGGCCGAAAGTATATAATTATACCTATATAAAAATATAATTTTGGGTTTTAATAAATTTAAGCAAGGAATCAATAATAATAATAATAAAGTACTTACTTTTTCCACCACTGTTAGTATTAATAAATTTGGATATTATATAGAACGTTAATATTACTTAGTATATATTATAAATACTCTCTTAAATAAAATTTGTTACTTACTTTTTGTCGATATCTATAAGCCCAGTATTGACTTAAGAATGCTGCAATAAAACCTGATATTATAAAATTTGTATATGTACCAGGTAAAATCACTAAACCATCACATATTAAAGGAACTGTGATTAAATGGAACTTTGCTTTTGGATATTTTTTATGTAACAAATAAATGGGAACGGGCGCAAGAAATCCCAACAAAAATCCCCATAATAATGGATTATATATAGATCCCTACATAAAAAATATATATAAATAAATAAAATTCTAAAATAAATATTAAATAACTCCTCATTAGCTTACTTTGCCAAAAGTTTTACCAGGTCCAATTAAACCCCATACTATTGAAGCAGTATTGAAAACTTGAGAACGATAACCTGTCCATTGACCCGTTGGATCTTGCGTAGTCCCATCCAAATATGGCCTTTTTGCTTCTATAATTATTTGAAGTAACCAATAATTTACAAAAGCACCTATTATCGTGCCCCATAATTGTGCTGTAAACATAGCTTTTGGAGGAATTTTCATATAATGACCTAAAAATAGATTAATTAAGGTTAAAAATAAATCATTTTCATGAAGTTGATTTAATTTCTCATTATTAATAATTACCAAGTTTTAGATCAGATACAAAAGATAAACATTGGTGCATAGCCATATATCCATAACATTTGAAATAAACATTAGCAATTGGACGACCTGGAAACAAGTACCTAAAAATAAATAAAAATTTGATGAAATTATATACTAATGATAATTTTAAGTATTTAAAATGAAAATTACCCGCATATCATTTCTGTTACGACGTTAAGACCAACTTGATTATTCGATATAGCTTGAATAATTCCTGAAACAAAATTTTTTTTTTTATTATTCCACTTATTCCACTTTAATAAAAGAAGAAAACCCATAAACAAATAAATCCACAAACCTATGGGTAAAACCATAACACACGCAAGCCCCACAGCCAACAATAATCCATACCATGGTAAGTGTGATCCTGATGCGTAACACAAAAATATTGCTACGAATAACATGGCGAAAAATATAGTTGCATACCACCAATTTGGAATATCTAAATAATTTTTAATAATAATAGATTGAATAAGTAAAGGATTAAGTATAGAAATTAAATTCATAATGAATCATTTATACCTTCATAACTCCTCATCATTTTACAATGAACATCTTCATCATCTTCAGATCGACTTGCTTTAAATCTTCCCCAGATCTCACTCCCATAAAATAAAGCAACATGAGTAATGGCTGCCGTGAAAGAAATAAAAGAATAAAAATATCCGGCTGCAAATGTAACGCTTAAATAAACGGGTCCATATTCATTATATGCCGTCTCATTTAACATTCCCGTATTCATGTCAATGATTTTAGTTTGATTATATCTAATTTGAATTTACATAAAAAAAAAATTAGATAAATGTCTTTTTTCTTTATATGTTAATAAAACTTTCAATAAGTCGTCTCAATTCACCTTTCTCCATCTCTATGCAGAGAATAAGTCGCCAAAAATGGAAAAGATTTTGCCATCCTAAATAATAAAATAATAAAATAAATATATATATTATAGTTTCTTATTAAATAACAATTTTGGAACTAATAAACGAATTCTTACCAAACATTATTATAATACAAAATTGGCGCAATAATCCATGATCCAATAATTACACCAGCATACCAATTAACTTGTGCCCACCTATTAATTTATTATAACAATGTTATTAATTGAATATATTAATCCAGTAAAATAAAAAAAATTCTTTACCATGGGGTGTAAAGTGGACCTGGTTGTCCAATTGCATTCCAATCTAAGGAAAAATTCAATATACCCAATCCGTGATATCCGCTACCAAAGCGAATAATATCCGCATTAAAAGGTTTTATCAAACATAATATTGATATGCTCGTCAGCATAGTAAATATGTACTGAGGGAAAAATTGCCAAAAAAACATGAAGATGAAGGCAATCGAGAAAAGTCTAAGCTTATCACGTGTATCTGCAGCATTTCCGTGAAGTGTTGAGAAAAGGCTCGAAAATACTAAATTTGATGGCCACTTTTAATAACGAAAAACAATTAGAAAATTATCAATCAGTCAATTATTCGTATAAATATCAATATTATCATACCAACATATTCGCTGGCCGTACAAGATCTATTAAAATAAAAAAAAAAGGTTAGAATTAAGGTATTATGTAATTCATTGACAACATATTTTTTTATTTACATTTTCTTAAAAATCCAGATAGCCCGTATCCGATCATTTGTGTGCTCAATAAAAGCAGAATTCCTATGAAGAATCCAGAATGTTGATTATAGAAAAGCTCTTGTATGGCTATAATATCCTTTTAATAAATAAACAATGATAAATTGTTAACATTTTTATTATTTATAAAGATCGCAAAAAAAATTTGATTTACTAACAGTGCCATAAGCCGAACCACCTCCAGCTCCTGCTGCAACAGCTATAAGCACATGCTCTTTTATATTAAATGGACCTAAGTAAAAAAAAAACCCAAATTAAATTTCAGGCGGCATAAATTAAATCAATACCTATCAATACGTTACCTGGATTTAATGTAAATCTCCAATTCCCAATTTTAAATTCATCTGTAGGAAGTACACGAGCCATCCATTTACCAATAACAAAAGAAACAAGTAATACAAAAAAAATCGAATATCCACCACCGTTTGATCTAAAATAATAAAATTCTGATACAGCAGCTCCAAGTGCCGTAAATATCTGAAAAAGATATTTTTCATAAAAAATTAGACAGGTTATTATAATTGTAAGCCATTAAAACTATCACTTACAAAACTTAGAACCCAGAAACGAAACGTTATACATGGTAGAGACGGATCATCCTTAATACTAACTGCCTATTATAATATTTAATTGTTATTTACACTATTTACACTCGAATAAAAGAGTAATTCATTAGTGAGTCAATTTAATCAATTACCGCAGCGACCATCGGTACTGGAGAGTTTACATCTATATTTGATCTATTAGATGGCAAAAGATATGTGTCATCGTCAAATTCTTCTGTATCACCAGTGCTATTTCTGCTTTTTAAACTATAAATAGGGTTGTCTTCTTCATTTTTTGGTGATCTTGGTGATCTTGGTCTTAATTCTGGTAATTCAAAATCATCATTTTGTCTTAATCTATCATATAATGATAGACTGGCCATTTTCAGAATAAAAAAGAGAGAGAAATTGAGAAAAATACGGAAAATGATGCAGGAAACATTATTTATAAATAACCTCTATTTAAGGTAAATAAAGCAGCTTATAGGTTATGCGAAGTTACGTTATAAGGAAATAATGATTATTTTTGGGTAAATTTATATATTGTCTAGTTGATCTGCATTAGACCAATGGTTTCAATGAGTTGTACAAAAATTAAAGACGTTAAACAAATATTATTTATCATGTGACAAAATTTATTCAATATTCAGACGTTTTCCTTACATTAATTTCTCCCTGTTTGTATCTCTTGTTTATATAGAATGCAGAAGCCAGTAACACAAGAAGAGTTGGATTTTGTTGCATGTGAAAGTGATAGGTTCGAAAGTGAGAAAATAAAGTGGAGGAACGAACTAATACAGGTTTGTGAAGTTTGTTAAATTTAAATTCGTTATTATTGTTGAATATTAAAACTTTTCTCCTTTATAGCAAACTTTAGAACAGAGAGAAAGAGAGCACGAACATGATATTTTATTAGCTAGAGAAGAAGTGAAAAAAAGATATGAAGAAGCAGAACGAATGCGGGAAGAAAAATATAAACAATGGCAAAAATTTTGTGAAAAAATAAACCTGCAATAGTAAGTTCGCCGATGTTTTTATAATAAACCATTCTTATTTTTAATTCTATATTGTTTTAGTGAGAAAGAGAGACTTAGAAGACAAAAAGATTTTCAAGTTGAACAAGCAAAATGGAGTCAAGAGGCAGAGGTCTGTCCAATTATTCAAAATCATTACAATTGTACGGGATTTAGTGAGAAAATAATTTGATCTGATTTCATAATGTAATAACTTATATATCTTCTTCAATAATAATTACTCATTTTATTTTAGAATTACGATCGTAGATTACAAGCAAAAAAACAAGAAGAAATAAATCGTCAATTAGCGGAGGATGAAAAGAAAAGACAAGCTTTAGCAGCTATTAAGGCTCAAAAAGAAGCAGCCGCTGCAGAAAAAAAAAAAAAGGAAGAGGAGGCGATAAAAGCAGCCGAAGAAAAAAAAGTAGCTAAGGAAAACGAAAAAATAGAGGCTGAGAAAAAAGCCCTGAATAAACTTGCATCAGATGAAGCCTTGAAGGAAGAAGAAAGATACCGACAATACCTAAAACTTATTAATGACAATATTGCAAAGGATCCTCAATTAAAGCAAGCTTCTTTAGACTCGAGGAAAAATATAACCTTAGCATTAAATACCCTTACTAATGATAGGACGAAAATAATTGATATCGTATGTATAAAATTCGTTATTATTGAAATTTTTTTTTCGTTATTCATTTTCTATATACTAAAATACTGTATATATGCTATCAAAAGGCTTCTCGGTTAGATAGAATGTTTAAAACCGCTCAAAATAATCAGAGACTTTATTATTTTCTCCTTAATTATACGGCAAAAGGCATTGTGGTTTGTTTCTTATTTTGTAGATTTTGATTTTTCACTCAATTATTTGTTGTTTGTTTGTTTCAATTAATCTATATTATAAACTTAGAAACATGCTGAAGTTGATGTATTATCCAATGAAGCCGCAGCTTTTCCATTTGCTCATGTATCTGTTCTAGTTTCAACAGAGCATTCCGATTTTATGGAAAAATTCATGATGGCTCGGTTTGTCAAAAAATGTCCATACGTATTACCAAGATATTATGCCAGACTTTCGGTAGGGTTTAATTTTTATTATAAGTTAAATTATCACAATTATAATTAATTTATTTTAACGTTATCTTCTTTGAATTTTAGAATCAAAATATTAATGATCTTAGGAAAAAAATGGGCTACAAACAAAATGAAGAAGAAGACGCATATTTCAAAAGGATGTGTGCAATTCTAGCTTTGTATTGCGCTATAATGCAAACTGTTCCATTGATTCCCAGTAAGTATGTTAAAATTAAATTCATTTTTACTTGTTTACTTAAATTTAATCACCTTTAGATCGAATTAATCCATATTCAATGGATCATGCATGGATTTGGTTGGCGCGATTGTTGAATTTACCACCTCAAAAAATCACTCCATTCCTTTTATATACTTTCCTCAAGGTAAGGAATATTGCATTTGTCATGTTTTTTTGTTTTGTTTTATTTTCTAAGAAAGTTACCTTCGTAGGTTGCTGGTGCGCAAGTGGTACAAGTATATAAAGGACAAGCTACAAAAATACTTTATGTCATTTTTAAAGCTTATGTTCACCAGCCTCCTCCAGAAATAAAAGCACTCCTAACTTCTTCTCCTGCTGCAATGTCACGGCTAAAAACATTTCTAGAAGATGCATCTCGAAAAGGATTTATTGAGCCTGAAGGAAGTGTTCCAAAATAATTTTTAAATAAATTGTATCAGCATCAATTAACTATTAAGACTATAAGTTTAAATATATCATACTATTTTAGTCATCATATTAAAATATCACAAGCGATTGTGAAAAAAGTGATCGAACATTTGTGAATTTGTTTAATCATTAGAATATTTAGAATAGGTCAATTTGACTTTTTTTATTAACTAATAATTTTGATCAAAGACAATAATTTGATAAGAGAAGTACTATTATTGCACGTTGTACATTACCATGAAATACTTTCATTTTGCATATTATTTAATCCGACAAAATTCATTATACAAAATTAGGAATAATTTCATTCATTAATACATTAACAAAATTTAGAATTGACTTCCTTTATTAAGGAAAAGTTGTTTAGTGGTTTGAAACTATCATTAACATACTTTCTAAAATTAATACTATTAATAAACTGTTGCCACATGGTTGGCTCGGTAGTATTAGCAAACAATGTGGCGAGACTTTTAGATATCGAGGTGGTTGCAATTTAAAACATTCTTAAGATGAATAAAAAGAAGGTTTACGATATTTAAATTTTTTTAATTATCATGTAACTATCTATCTAAACGAACAAAATTTAAAATAACATCAAAAAATAATTTATTTAGTTTAAATTTTAAAATAATTAAGATCTTAATCAAAAACCTAATTTATGAATCGTCAAAACATCTTTACTTGATTCTAAATCATCCAAATTTTCCCACCATTTAAACAAAAAATTTTCGCAAATAAGTTTAAACCATGGAGTATATTTCCAATCTTTGAAAAAAAAAAAAAAAAAAAANAAAAAAAAAAAAAAAAAAAAATATTATTAATGTATTTATCATTATAAACATTAAGCGTCTACAATAACTTACCGCCAGGATTGTTGAATTTTTTGCGTAATTCATCCAAAGATAAAAATTCAGCAGCTTTCACTTCATTTTTATTCACTACAATGTCATCAAAAGTAAAATCCCCTCGAATAAAAAGAATATAATCGACTAAAAATAAAAATTATGAAGAAATATTAGTTTCGAGCTGTTATATTGTTATATTTATTATATAAATTAATAATCTTATTACCTTCGTGTTCGCCCCAAAGTCCATCTGAGGGAGCTAAATAATGAATTCTAGTCAAGAATACAAAATCATCAAGAGGAACTTTTTCCGGTTTAATACCCAATTCGTGCTCTAATTTTCGTTGAGCCGCTCGACGTGCTCCTATATTAACAAAAAAAAAGAAAAGAAAGCTTATTAAAACAAAATAAAAATTTAAAAAATTTTAGATATAATTTCATCAATCATCTCACCAATTTGAGCTTCTTCCTCTAATTCTAAAGGTGTATTTAATGGATGAGAACAACAAGTATTTGTCCAAAGATCAGGAAATGTAATTTTTTCATTTGCACGTTGTTGTAATAATAATTTATTTTCTGAATTAAAAAGAAATACTGAAAATGCTCTGTGTAAAAGTCCTTTATTAATATTTTCCATTAAATGACCTTAGAAGATAAAAAAAAAATTGGATTAATTTTTTTTTAAATTATAAAGAATTAAAAGGTTTTGAATTTTGTATAATACTAATTTTAACCCAGGGTGATTTAACCCACTAGTAAATTTTATATAATTATTATAATTTTGCCTAAATTTCAAAAAAAAAAAATTGTAAACTATGAATTACAATAAAAATGAGAGACATTGTCAAAAATATAAGAAAAATTGGTTATTATACTCTATAATATCAAGTGAAATGAATAATAACACAAATAATCTTTTTTTTTTTAAAAAAAAAAAAAAATATTGATATAAAATATATCTTTTTAGGGGGTGATTTAACCCAGGTTATTTAACCCGTTATCAAAACTCTTAAATTTTTATAAAAAAAAAAAAAAATAACATACAATTTTTTTTGGTATCCGCCCCAATTTTTTCATCTTTTTCGTTAACTACAATACACATTTCTTGCATCAACTTAACTTGTTCTTCATCATATTTATCTAAATTAACATTATCAGTCTTTGAACTCATTTTTATAAATGAAGAAAAAAAATTTAAATTAAGATTTACGAAAAAAAGGAAGAAAAAATTTTGTCGATTAGTAAAAAAAAATGTTTCATTATAAATAAAATGGATCAAATCTACATTTTACACGTACTACAAAGTAAATTACAAGTTACACTAAGGGTTTGCATTTAAGGTATGAGCAATACGAATTTGCCGATGAAAGAATATCATCATATTGTTAAAGATTAACTTATTATTTATATAAAATGTAAATATAATATTCAGTATATACTTTATGTCTCCTAAAATAAATATTGTGAATAGTACAAGTTTTGGTTCTCCCGAAATTTTCGTCTGCATGAAATAAACAATGGATAGTATAGATTATAGATTCCGATCTTAATATTTTACAAAAATTCACTATAATTATTATACACGTCTAACTCTGAATGATAAAGATTTGACATTAACTGTTAATACAGTAGTATTATTATGAGTAAAGGTGTGATCCCGGTCATCTGAAACCCAATCCGTTCAATCCGGTGAATACTGTATGATGATGGTGAATATGATGGTGAATAGGATTGGCTGAATGAAATTTAATAAATACGACAATGATATGTGCTATTTAATCATCCGGTCAAAATTTGATTAAATCCATAATCCGGATGGTTCATATACGTGTTTTTTTTTCGAGCGGATAAGGATCTAAATACGGATTCAATTTTTTTCAAGACCGAATTTGACCGGATCACACCCTAATTATGAGAAAGACTAATGTAATAAAACTCTAATAAAAACTCTGTTTCCAGTGTTAAAAAGTTTTTTCAAGTCGTTAGTGAACTGGCTATTTGTGGTTTACTTCTGTTCACATTTTTGAGAATCTGGATCTGCCATTCGTCAGATTGCCTGATATGAAGTTTAAATAAGGATTATAGGAAATTTACAAGTCGTGTACTTTCAAAGTATACATATAGTCAAAAAAGCTTGATAGAAAGAAAATTATTACAGTAAGCAAGTGATTTGCCGAAACTTAAAGAGTTCTATTGATTTACTAAAGATAATCTATATATTTTTTGTTTTTAATAAACTTACTCTAAATATAGAATGGAAGAATAGATTATTTATTAGCATAAAAGAAACCTTTACAGTTTATGTTCTTATTTATGATGATACAAATATATTATTGAGATGAGTGAGTTCGGTAAGTTTGAAATCCAAATACCGAATAATTTGAGTACTGATACTTTAAAAACTTCGCGGAGAGCTTGTTACGCATGTATTCAGGAGGTGAAGTGCTGAACAATTAAAGAATAGCGTTAATCAAATACTTTCCATGAGACCGCATAAATATTTGTCGTTATCCTACGACACTTTATAACATAGGAATAATAAATATATGAATTTTTTATGTGGTGATTGTTTTAATAAATATGATAATTGTATGTTATTGAAGGGGCGTCAAAATATCGGCCGAAGGCCGATATAGCCCCGTTCAATAACAATATTATTATACGTGATATTAGGATTAGTGCGTGTGCTAATATAATTATATTGTCGATCATCATTAAAAATATCGGGCATGATAACAAAAATATCGGTACAATGAATTCCGCACAATCCTAATGAGCGTGTAATAATAGAAATTACATTTAAATTATAAATTAATATCACTAAGATAACACTCACTATAAATATTATCATCATCATTCATTAGAATATTATATTAGGGTGTGCTGTTAGCATAGGAATACACATACTGATATAATATAAATTTTAGTTGACTCGTGATCGAAAAAGATTAATCATCGATCACATCAAAGTTGATTGGATACAGAATTATTTATTTTTAATGACTATGATTATTTAATCAACTAAAAAATAAAAAATAAGAAATTGTAAAGATTGTAAAACGAAATTTTTTTTTTGATTATAATATTCCATATGATTATATTAACACAAATTACAAAATTTATTTCATTAACTAATTTTTAATAAAATAAACAACGCCAATTCTTACAACATCAGTTCAAGCTTAAATATTACTCACGCTTGCAAACGCTACGACTGTTAATTTCTTCAGTCTTCACCACCCACAACGATAGCATTCTCTCAGGTATACAACGGTTTGAAGTTACGTGATTTAACGTTAAAAATTTATATTGCAAAAGCTGCACTACCTCCTCTGCAGGACAAACACAAACTTTAGCAGCAGTAACTAAAAAAACAGTGCGATTTCATTATAAGAGATGGAAACTTATTATTTTATTTTATAAATAGTACATATAATTTCAATTGATTATTTTATCGCGATTTTTTTTTAAAGTGTAAGTAAATATTATATAATAAAAAACAGTTAAAATGTTAATGAAAATTTTTAAAACTATCATTAATTGCAAATACTAGAACTTAAAATTAAAACAAATAACAAAAATCTAACATACCGATCCTAAATCCTTACTGTAAAGTAAAAAGCTGAATAAATGAAATCTAAAAATATAAAATATAGTAAAATAGGTTAGAAGACTCGAGTACTCTAAGTAAGCTTTGCAGAAAAGACAAATTCAAGCCCCCATGCCTACTATCAACTAACATTAACGTATATCGTGAGTGATCAAACTCGTGCAGAGGTACTGTCACATTGATAATAAGACATGAGACCCACCACCAAAGGGACGGGCCCCACATACAGAAGTCTGCGACATAGCTTGAGACATACTGATACAGTATTTTTTTCTCATTGAAGGTAACCAGACTTCTAGAAGAGGAGGATAACCAAAGCACTCTAGGTGCACTAGTCCCTTATACATCCCAGCTTAGTCATTTCCACTTACCAGAATAATAGAATATATTACTGTCTATTCAGGTTTGACGCTTATTCCAATTTTTTCTTTAACGTTAAGCTTTCGTTTTTAGAAAAAAGAAAGGAAGGCTATTATTGAATAAGTGTTCATAACTATCTTTAAACAATTTTTTTAGTACTGTATGTCTTCGTCATTTGTTTACAATAAGTTTTCTTTGAAAGGAAATAACAAAAATTTTTAACGAAAGTAAGAAAGTTTCGCCGAAACTTTTTTTGACTAGGAGCGGCCGAAAGACTAGAGATATTTTTTGCGTTTCTGAACAGGGAGTTAAAAAACGCGGTAAAGAAAGAATATTTCTTCAAACTTAATAAGTACGAGTGTAAGTACAGAAAAAAATAAAAAAAAAAGCGCGAGTGTGAGTATAAATAAAAATAAAAAAGAGTGCAAGTATAAAAAGTATAAAAGAAAAAAGAAATTTCATGATTTTTTATAGAATATTTCATGGGAAAATATGATGTAAACTTATTGAGTCATTATTAGCAAAACTGATGGTTACTGATCATAATCACAATTTAGGTCCCGATGCATGATTATTCTTCTTATGAGTCATTTGATTATTTATATTGTTGCTACATTAAAAACAAATTCCTATTAAGATTGATGTTATTCCCATCTTATTCTGAATTTTTTTCATATTTTCTTTTAAAATTCTACAATAGTATCTCAAAGAATTACATCATCATGTAACATACTTACTCTTGGATATATTTCCATAAGAAAAAATTTTTTTTTAGTATTTTTTTGGCGTTAATATTTTATATTATTCTTTATTATGCATTCTTAAACTTTTATTATTATTATTATTATTTAAATCCAAATTAAATAAATATAAAGTTATTGAATTTTAAAATCTTGGATTGTTTTTTAATAAAACAGAAATTTCCCGATTTAATAGTTGACAGCGATACTATGAAAAGGTTATAGATAATCCTGGTGGAAAGCCATTACTTTATTTGGATACTGGCCAAAATTATCATAATTCTGGCCCTGAAAAAATGTGTCTAATATGATAGTAAAATTATTTTGACCGCCTCTGACTTTTTATATATTTCAGGATCTTCTCCGATGTATGTCTCATCTAATGACGTATCCTAATCTAAATTACCTGATACGGTTTCTCGATCCTAATAAGAACTGGCTAAAATTAAAGAAGAAATGAAATTCCTTTTGATTTTTTGATTAGACATTAATATAAAATTTAGTATAAAATTTAGAAGATAACCCCTGTGCCCCTGTCCCAATTGAATATTGATTTACGGTTTAATATTTTACATATTAAGATAAAATCCTTAAGTCACACCCTGGAGATGTAACAGAAACAGATTCCAAGGTATTCCATGCGACTTAACTCTCAATAAACTACGCAGTGAGACCAAATAGTATATAAATAGGTAACAAGAGCTCGGCCAAGTCCAGAATTACGTAATTCCGCCTGGCATTATTCAAAAAAGGAAGGATTTACACATCATTCTATGAGGATACTCTATATTGTTACCCTTTTATGTACTATTCCAACCCTGACCTTTTGAGTACTAAAACTAGACCGAATGTCCTAACGATAATACATAGTAGATCAAGGAAATGAAATTATTGAGTATTTCCTCATTTTTCGTACATAATTATCAATAACCGAATAAGGAGCGTATATAGACGCACGCATGTAAATTTTCGACTCAATAAATGCAACAAAAAGTGCAACTCAATGAAATTTATATCGATCTGAAACATTTTTTTTATTCAAAAGTATGATTTTTTCTATTTTCAAATAATAATTTATATATAAGATTTATAATTTATTTATTTATTTATTTATTTTATTTCAAAAGAGTGGTAATCAAAGTCTATTACAATAAAAGAATGTGCACCGAAGTGCTACAGGGTCAATCTATATGTGTAGATCTTTAACTTTTATCCCAATTAATTAGGACCACACCCTTCGTTTAGAGATATAGGGTGGCCCAACCATTGTTTAACAATTTATTTATTTATTTATTTTATGGCTAGCTAGGATGACTACATTGAAGAAATTTACAGACTAATAAATTATAAAAAAAAATACAATGTCGAACTTCACTCAATAAAATCGAGCCCTAACTAGTATTCTATATAAAACTGACTAAAAACCCGACCGAATTAAGACAGTATAGAACCAAATATATATAAAAAGAAAATGAAACTATGCTAGTAAGTAGGTAGACTAAACCATAAAACTAACTGAACGTTGAGGAAAAGTAAAAGTAGACACCTCTGCAGTTAAAGAATCACGTAACTGCTGAAACATTGAGCTCATTGGTTAATAATTACATAAGATTCAACGACTGATAATTGATCACGTGATAATAGTGACGTCGACAGTGTAACAATTTTGGACTTTTTAAACTTTTTAAAAATCTTTAACCAAAAGAAAGAATAATTTATTTTGGTCTGTAGAAAGATGATTAAAAAAATATGTGATGCAATGAATTACTTTTCATCGGTCTTTCAATGTATACATTTGCAGGCCGGGTAGGTAGTCACACATTGTAATTACGTATTTTGTAGAAATACGAAATCTAATTAATAAAATAGTGCCACGAATATATTAAGAAAAAAAATCTTTCGATCAATCTCCTTATTGAATCCCACTTTCTTTAAGCTAATATAGCTAATATTGATATTAGGCTATTTTTTCCTTAGCCTTTTCCCTCTCTTACCTTTTCCCTCTTTTACCTTTTCTCTCTTGACTTTCCTCTCATCTTTCCCACCTTTCCTTCTCTCACCACTTCTTCCTGATCGGCTTCACATCAAAGGTGATTGGCCAATGGACATGAATGTTACTTTAAAAGAAACGTATTCCGGAACATTTTATTTTATGTACAGTATATGTAAATTGTACATATAGCAAGTGATGTACATTGGAAGATTTGGAAGCTATTGGAATCTTCCAATGCACATCACTGCATATAGCTATACCTAAAATACTTCCTTTCCATCATTGTAATTTCTTTAAAAAACCTGTTTAACCGATCACCAGCATTGAGGTGAATTTGCGATTTTTTTTTTGGAATTCTAAAATCTAAACTTCTGATAAATAACCGAAAATAAAAAATGAAATAAAAAAAAAATTTTTCGTCTACAAAATTTGTTCGAACATTCTAATGTACAATTACTAAAGTCGAGCATAAGGCTGCAAAGAGATCAGTTTCACTATATTTCTATATAATCTAATCCATTATTACACATACAGTACGTTAATCCATCTTCAAAATCACATAATTTTAAGTTATGAGAAGTGATTTGTTGAGATCCTTTATCCCTTGTACTATAATCCATTGAACAAGATATTTTTGTGGAATAAATAAGTAATGTATGGCAGGGTAGGAATACAACAGAGATTGGCTTAAATACAAGGTATGCGACACCATCATGCATTAATAGCCTGAAGCCCCGTGCATACATACATTCACTGCTGATATTAAAAAAAAAAGTCTTTCCCAGTTATCAAAGTATAATATTTTTAAATCTTTTACTTTGTATATATTTAGTTACATTTTATGTATATATGAACACTTATTGTCAAGATTCTTTTTTCAAAAGTCACTACAGTTGTAAACTATATTAAATTGTTAAAATAGTTATTTTTTCATACATTAATGTAAATAATAAAATCTTAATAAAAATTTTGATGTTTTTAAAGTTTTTGATTCTTAAAAACAAGAATTGTCGCAAAAAAAAAAAAAAAAAAAAAAAAAAAAATTCTTTTTATGGTTATATTTTACATTGCAATTTGTCGATCAGGGGCAAAAAGTATCAGACTTTGACTTCCTTGTCAAAATATGTATCACAAACCAAACATTTTCTTTAAATTTTAAAAACATTAATGCGTTGTTATTACATTATCATTCAAAGATTATAGACACAAAAAGAATTGTTTTTTTTTTTTTGCAAGACATTACTATTAATAATAAACAGATTTATAATATTTTTAAATAATTACGGTACTTGATTGTTTTAAGATTTTATGAGAAATTAATTTTTTTTTTATTTTAATATATATTATTAACAATAAATTTGATTTTAACAAGATATTTTTATTAAAATATCCAAAAAAAAAATTGTTTATCACTAATACAGTAAAAAGTAATACGAAGATGGTCAAGAAGGTAATTTTTACTGTTTCGAGTCAAGAAAAGAATGTTTGTCATACAGTGCATAATAATGCCGTGTCAAGAAGGTGATTCTTGCATCAGTGTTTTTAACGGATATTGATTTTTATGGAAAAGCATCTGTCGTACGCATTTATAAGTGTGAACTTTTTTTTTGTTGAAACAAATAAAAATATTAATATTCATCCCCTTCCAAATAATAGAAATACAAAATTTTAAAACATTTCTAAAATGATGAAAGAAGAATGCCAAATTTGTTTTGAACTTCTTCCAAGGCACCTATTCTTACAAGTAACTGCAGATTGTAACCATGAATTAGATGTTTGTAAATTATGTGTTGATAAGCATATTCAAGCACAGTTAGAAAGTAAGGGTAATATAGAAATTTGTTGTCCGTCTTCTGGTTGTAAAAAAGAATTACAACATAGGGATATAAAAAGGATCGCAAGTAAACAAGCATTTGAAAGATATGATAAATTAATGCTTACTCAAACGTTAAGCAAATTGCCAGAATTTAGATGGTGTAAAAATTCTAGATGTGGTGCCGGTCAAATTAATTTTGAAGGAGGTAATAATAACGATTATTTAAATTTATTTTTAAAGAAAAATTAATGATAATTTAATTTCTTTTTAATATTAGACGCCTCACCCATAATGACATGTGAATCTTGCGGTCAAAAATACTGTTATACTCACGATGTTCCTTGGCATAAGGGATTAACTTGTAGTGAATATAATAATAGAAAATTAGGTGAAGACAAAGCTACAAAAAGTTTACTCGAAAGAGAAACCAAGTCATGTCCCAAATGTGGCGTAAGAATTACCAAAAATGGAGGATGCGACCATATGACTTGTACTGTTAAACATTGTAAATATGAATTCTGTTGGTTGTAAGTTTCAATCAGGCATATGTTTTGTTTTTATTTTATAATTAAGAAATTTTATTAATTTAAATTAAATTTATTATAGGTGTTTTGCTGATTATAATGAGATTAGGAGAAATGGAAATAAATCTCATAGAAGAACTTGTAAATTGTATGCGTAACAGAATTGAAGAACACGTAAATAAATTAACAAATTTTATAAAGCTTAAAATAATAAGGCGACACAAAGTGGTAAAAAATGGGTTTCATAGTCCGGCCGGGTCAGTTTTTGTAAAAAAAAAATTTCACATAAAATTTTTGAAGAAAAAATTAAAAAGCCGGGTTGCCGTGTTATTGATGAAATTTTTATATTATGAAAACCATAAAATCAAAGTTTGTATGGCCTAAAATTAATAAATTTAATAAAAGCTAATAACGATAATAAATTAATAAAAGTTAATAATAAATTTAATAAAAACTAATAAATTTAACAAAAGCTACATCCACGAAACTAATAATGATTTAATAAAGCAACGAACTAATACAGTAATGAATTTAACAATTTAATAAATTTAAATAAAAACTATTAATAAATTAGAGGTTGGTTAAAACTATTTTGACCATAAATCCATAATTCTGTTCAGATTTACTTGATTTCAGTCGTGTGTGTTCCCAAACTCGAAGTTTTTAATGGGCGTCCTTAACGTACAGTGGGAGTGTATGATATTAACGTACGAACTGGCCCTAGTTTTGGAGTTATGCACTTGCACGAGACAGCGTTAGCATTAACCCCGGCCAGTTCGTACGTTTTCCTATTTATTAATAATGGTATTGATGAAAAATAATCTTCTTTCAACTAAATGTGTAGGTAAAATCAAAAATCGGTACAATTTTCAGCAAAAAAAAATTTTTAAATATTTTTCATATTAACCGATTAATTAACCGGTTAAGGGGTTTTTTGACGGTTTCAACCTCCATAATAAATTTAATAAAGTTAATAAAAAATTATAAAAATTAATAAAAGCTGATAATAAGTTAATAAAACTAATAATAAATTAATAAAATCTAATAATGAATTTAATAAAGCTACATCCAATAAAGCTACGTTCATAAAGCTAATAATAAATTTCATAAAATTAACAATCATTTAATCATTTATTTATTATTACTATGCAAATGTTAAACCACTGAATTTATATATATATTTTTTTACCATAAATATATTGTTTACTAATATTTATTATTTGTTTATTAATTGACAGTTTGTTAATTTTATCGTAAATTTGCAAATCAAAGCAAATCAAACACTAATAAAAATTAAATGTCACATCATATGTGATAATTTTAATATTTTTACCAACATTAAATCAACATTAAATCAACATTAAATCAAAATTAAATCAACATTAAATGTATATTCTTGGCGAGATTTTAGGATTTACAATTTGTCACACTAATCACTAATAGGCGATAAAAAAAAAAAAAATTTTTTGACAAATGATAATTGATCAATTTGACTAATGAAACAAAATTGAAAGGGATGCAATGCATTATGTGATTACGATGCTTTATTTTAAGAATTACAATGTAAAAGTAACTAAATTTGGAATGTTTATAACAAAACACATGCAAACATGTGCGTCAACTATATACATTTCTCATTGTAATTTTAGTCATTATTTTATATTAACAGTTTAAGAGATAAATTATGAGGTAATTAATGATTAATAAAAGTAATTAATTATTAATACATTTCTTAATTTGGGAAAAACGTGAGTTTTTCCGATATTTTTATTTATTCAAAAGACTAAGATCTACTACAATTAAAATTAATAATATTTGCAATATTTAGGAAACCAATTAAAAATTGTTAAACAATAGAGACGAGAAATAATGATGTAAAACGTGGCGCAAAACGCAAATAATAATAATAATAATAATAATAATAATAATAATAATAATAATAATAATAATAATAATAATAATATTTATAAAATATAATGATTATTTGTTTGTTTGTGAATAATAATAATAATAATAATAATAATAAAATTGTATAATAAATGTCAAAAAGTAAAATTTTCAATTCATTAAAAAGAGGAAAGAATATTTTTAATTCGTCAATTCCTTCTTTAAAAATAAAAGGTTAAGAGGAGCGCAGGATGCGCAGAACGCGCAGGGACAAAGGATTAATGGATTAATGATTATCAACATAGTACAAAAGATGTGTGCAGAAAAAACTAAATTTGATATGAAAATCATGGGAGTTTTTATTTTCTCTTTGTAAAAAGGTTTAATATGGCTAATTTTTAATTATTCAACCAACCAGAATTAACTTTTTTTGTATATTTGTTTTGGTCACGCTATAGTCAGGCCACATAATACAAACCAGTTAAATTTTAAATAATTCAAATTACATAATTGGACGGTTGGGCGTAGAAACATTAAAACGAATTTGTCAAATTTGTGTAAATTTATTAATAATGGACGAATATTCATTATATTTGACGCCATATTACCTTAATCAATTGTTTTTTTATTATACAATTAAAATATTATGGGATTCCGGAATTCCAAAAATTTCTTAAATTGTATAAACCTTTCCCAGCTATTCAGTTTAGGAATCTCATAGTAAATATAGTAAGAACAAATAATATTTTAATGTTAATATTTTGTGCAATTATTTGTTATTTAACTTTTGATTATAATAATTCGGAAAAAAGTAGGGATTAGGGAATTAATTAATTATATATATGAAAGAATCTTTTTTTTCATTGTACAGAAAAAAATTAAAGTTTAATTCTCATAAAAATTTTACATTACACAAAAATGTAATAAAAAGGTTTAACTGTTTATGGATTCATTGTAAAAAAAAAATTTTTCGGTTACAATCGAGAAATTAAAATATTAATCATTTTCTTTCATAAGATAAATACTTTAATTGGAAGAAAATGCAAAAAAAAAATACAATGGCATGTAGGTAAATTGAATTACGTAACAATGTAACGTAATCCATGTAATGTAACTCTATAGTACGACTGATGACATTTTAATTTTAATCTATAGATCACTTATGAAACCTTGCGATTGGATCTACACAAATTTCCAAAATATGAATTTTGGCGCCAAAAAAAAAAACTTTTTTCCACGATTTCCTTTTTTGGAATACTGAAGAAAAAATATTTATTCCGAACCGAGAAAAACACGAACCGATCATGTCAAAGTTAGAAATGAATTACATCAAATTTATAATAATTTGTTTTATTCGAGTTTTTCCGTATTATAATATAAAAAAAAAAAAAAAAAAAA